GCCACAGTTTGTTATGATCTACACAGTCAAATGCCTTTGCATAGTCAATGAAACACAGATAGACATTCCTCTGGTATTCCCTGCTTTTATAGTAGTTTTAAAAATAATATTCTGCAATATTTTACCTATATGTGATAGTAATGATATTGTTCAATATTTTCAGATTCTGTAAGACTACCTTTTTTGGAAATGAGAACAAATGTAGATCTCTTCCAGTCAATTGATCAGGTATATTTTCCATATTTGTTGGCATAGCCTGGTGAGCACATCCAGGGCTGCATCTCTTTTGTGAAACATTCTGGGACTTTCTTTCGGCCAATCCCTTTAGTGTAGCTTGAATTTCTTCCTTCAGTAGGATTGATTCCTATGAAATCCTTCATTCTCATCAAGTTTTGTGCATCTGCTTTGTTTAGTATTGATTCTTATGCCTACTTAGTGTTTCTATTGGGTACATCTACAGTTGTCCTCTCGGTTGCTTTTAAGTAACCGTTGTATTTATATATCCACAAAAACAATGAATAATTCTATCTTCCTTAGAACTGTTTCTATATACCTGTTTCTTCATCAGCCGTTAGTACTGAGACCAAAAGATTGATGCTATTGTTGTTAGGTGATGTTGAGCAGAGTATGACTCATAATGACCCTATGAACAACAGACCGGAGCCCTGTCCTATCCTGTGGCTTCTTCATCATCTCTGACACACTGGAGCCCATTGTGGCAGTTATTGTGACAAGCTATCTCATTTGGGATCTTTTTTTCCTTTGCTGACTCTCTATCTTTCCAACATGATATTCCTTTCCAAGGAATGGCCTTGCCTAGCTACATATGCAAAGTCTGAGAGAGAAAGCTTTACCATCTTTGCCTGCAGGAACACTCTACCTGCACTTTCTCAAGACATATTTGTTTCTTCTTTTGTATATCCTAATTTGCACATCACTCTTTGTCAATGTGCTATATGAGGTAGCCTGGGTTGGTTATGATGCTGAACCTTGTGCCACAGGCATATCAAATATCAGAATGGTTTCCCATTGTGGAAAGAGCTTGGTAGAGCTCCCAGCTACAAAACAGGTTGGGAAGCAGGAGTGGCATCCACTTCCTCAACCACATGCCTCTGGAAACCCTATTAACTTGGTGCAACAATGGTAGCTATGGAAAGACTTTAGGTCTTTTGTTCATAGAGTTGCTATGAGTTGATATTGACCTGATAGCAATCAACAACAATTTGGTAGTAGTAACTAGTGTCTTAAAAGCTTTTGAATAGTCATCCAAGGTTTAAAGATTGGTTTTTTCCCTGTACAGAACAAAGAAGAGTGAAGGGGAAAAAAGTAGAAAAGACATAAAATAATTAATCAAAACAACTAATGAACCACATAGATTTTCATTCCCACTATCTTGAGACCAGAAGAACTGGGTGGCACTCAGCTACCACTGTTGACCAATTCATCAGCCACTACATGACAAAAATATGAGCAGTTGATCTACATGGGTTTGATTACAGAAACTAGTAAAGCATTGTATAAAAAAAAAAAAGAGAAAAAAAAGATGAGATTTACAGACTCAGAAACTTGATGGAAGGTTTCTATGAATTGAATTCATCTCAATGACAGCCAGTTTTTTTAATGGATGGATGGATAGATAGATAGGTAGATGAATATCTCTCCACTCCCACCTATGTGCATGCACCCCCCCATATAGATATATCTTTATAGAGAAAACTTTTTTCCAAACTTTTAAAGGATAGTTTTTTACATAATTCCTAAATAGAATATATATCAAAGCATGTATACACATACCTCTCTATATAGCAAGAGAGAAAGAAAATATAAAACCAATGTAGTAAAATGTTAACATTTATGGAATATTGGTGAAAGGTATCTGTGAATTTTTTGTTCTCTTTTTGCAAACTTTCTGTGAGTCAAAAATAATGCCAATATAAAGTAGTACAAATATGGAAGATGACCTCCCTTTGTTAGGAAATCTTGTAAGACATGATAATGACCTGGAAGCATTTTACTCCACCAGCAAAAGCTTCCTGCCTAAAAGTTCTCAGTTCTCTTGTCTTGTTGGGCTGGGAAACCCACCGCACCATTTCATTGCTGTTTTTTCTGCCTCTGCTGCAACTTCATCTTATTTAGATATTCAGAGGTGGAAGGAAGGGCATTCCAGTAAAAAGATAAGGTGAGAAAACCATGCAGTAGCAAAAAGCAGGGTACACTGAAGGAGTAGAGAGATACTGAGTTACATTCTTTGAGTTCTTTCCTGGCTTTGAAGCAAAGTGAGTGGTAGAAAGCAGAGGAGTGGGTTGGGAAGTATATGTCAGGAAATTTCTTTAAAATAGGATTACTGAAAAATTGTGTCTGCAAATATATTTTAAAGAAATCCAAGTATAAAATATCAAGTTTTCAATCTATAAAGCACAGCACAATAACTTGTAAAGATGGCATGGTAACTGTAAGAAAGGATGCAGGCAGCAATGGATCAATCCCCATCAGCAACATCCACAATACCAAGCCAGTTCTTATATGGTCAGACATGGCCTCAATGCTCCTGCACTTCCTTTTACTAATTGCAACACCAATCATACTGCTTTGTAATTGGGCTTAAAATCCACTATATTGGCTACATTGATCTCAGGAACCAAACTCACAGTTATGGGCTTTATTAGGGAAGTTAATAGGTTACAATTCATGTTGACACTAGGATTTAATTCCTCAATCAGGACAGCATCTCTAGTGTGCTTGGGAGCTCTTTGATCTTCAGCTTCATGGCCTAGGTCAGTGTTTAAAAGTTCCTTTAGTCCTCCCAGTTGTGCACTCTCCCCTCAGTTGTCTAGCAAGCTTTGGTGAAGGTCCCTGGCTCTGGCTCTGGGGCAACAGTCTCAAGTCAGCTCTGACACAGCTCTGGTCCTCTGCTGAGCCAGGTGCCATTCTCACATAGGTGTTGGTCTGATTGGTGATGATGTCCATGGCCCCAAGAATGTTCATTGCACTCCTTATTTCTCCTTGTGAGATTCTCACCTTCTTTGCTAAACTTGCTCATTTTAAACTCTGCAGTTTTGGGAAAACCACTTGCTATGCTGCTGAGAGTTGCATAATGAATAAAGACGACAGATGAACAGATAGATACCTTTGAACTATGATATTGGAGAAGAGTACTGAATATCCCATGGACTGTTAAAAGAATGAACAGACATGTCTTGCAGAAAATGCCAACAGAGTGCCCCCTGGAGGCAAAGATAATTAAACTTTATCTCACATATTATGGAATGTTGCTAGGAGACAGGGACATCATGCTTGGAAGATGGAGTGTTGAAAATATAGGAAGACCCTCAACAACGTAGACTTGATACAGTGACTGCAGTAATGGGATCAAGAGTGTCAGAGATTGTGAGGAAAGCACAGGATAGGACATGATTCTGATCTGTTCATACGGTTACTCTGAGTTGTACTTGATGGCACCTAACAACAACAACAGTTTGGCAAAAACTGGCCAATTACATAATGATGCGTTTACACACACCCTATTTCAGATTCTTAACCAGTTATTTGGTTAAAGTCAAAGTCAAAATGGCTAGGAAAACCATTTTTAACAATAAACCCCTGATAGCATGGTGGCAGAAGGTCAACAAACCAAGGCTGATTCCTATGAGGTGGGTCAGATAGACCTTCACTCTCCAACCTTTCTACCATTTATGACACCAACCACCCTTCTCATGGCACTCCCTGGTTCTCTACTAAGTTTGGTCATTCATTACAGTGGCCTCGCAAAACTCACAGATATGGAGTTTAGTAAAAAAGTAACAGACTGTGATTTAAGATCAGGAACACCTCTGGACACAGTTTTTTAATCAAGACAGCCTTTTATTAGTTAGGCTTGCATGCTAGCTTGTTTCTATTCTCTGACCTCTTAGTCCTTTGGTTCCTTGGTCTGGACCCTGGCTTTCTCAGGTAAGTATTACTTACAAAGCTCTTTAGTTCCACCTGCAGAGGTGGATAACAGGCACCTCACTCCACAAGTAAGCCTTAGCCTAAAAGCGCTGGACTTTACAGCTCTGTGTGTTAGCAAGTTTAGTTTGTTAACGAGTGCCCAGAAGTATCTCACTCCACCAGCAAGACTGTTGCCTAACTGCTCAGCCTTCCTGAATTGGAAAGCCCAAAACAACATCTCACTCCAATCTTCTGATTCTGCTGCTGTGATTTCTCTGCCTCTGCTGTGCCTTCTTACCATCTTGCTCCATCTCTATCATTATAGATTTCTGTCTTAGTCTTCTGGGTCTAACAGGTTCTCAGTGCAGGGGCCCTGAATCCAAAGGATATGGTCCGTTCCTGTCTTTTCTTCTTGATGGTACTAAAGTCCACCTTTCTCTCTGAGATTGCTCATTTTAAGATTGTTACTGTTACTGCTAGTACTATTATGTTTATTAAGACTCACAGCAACCTTATGAAATCCTGTGCCATCATCCTCATCATCACTGATGTGCTACAGCCCATTGTTACAGTCATTGTGTCAATCTGTCAATCCATCTTATTGAGGGTTTTCCTCTATTTCACTGACCTTTCTTTCTAAACATGAAGTCTTTTTCCAAAGACCAAGCCATCCTAACAACATGCTGAAAATATATGAGACAAAGGTTGACCATCTTGTCTCCAAGGAGGACTCTGATTGCACTTTATCCAAGACATATTTGTTCTTTTGGCAGCCCATGAGATACTCAGTTTTCTCCAGCAACACAATCCAAAGGCATTAATTCTTCTGTTATCCTTACATGCATTGTACAACTTTTAAATGCACCTTGGGCTTTAAGCTGACATCATTGCTCTTTCACATGTTGAAGGGGTATTTGACAGTACTTACCCAGTGCAATACATCTTTTGATTTCTTGACTCCTGGTGTCAAGGGTATTGATTGTGGATACAAGCAAGATGAAATTTTCAACTTCAATTATGTTGTCTTTTGGCTCAGTAGTGAGATTTTTTTTTTCTCTCTGTGATTTTGAAGTGGACTTTCCTTCATAGGGTCGCTATGAGTTGCCTGCGACTCGACGGCACTTAACAACAACAACAATCCATATTGAAGGTTTCAGTCTTTGATATTTTAGAGTAAGTATTTCAAGTCCTTTTAACTTTTGGCAAACAAGGTTGTGTCATCTGTATAATGTAGGTTGTTTATGAGTCTTCCTTCTATTCTAGTGCTACATTCTTCTTCATAAAGTCTAGACTCTCAAATTATTTGCTCAGCATACAGATTAAAAAGATTTGGAGAAATGAAACATCCCTGCCCACATCTTTCTTGATTTTTAAACCATGCAGTGTTCCCTTGCTCTGTTCGGACAACAGCTTTTTGGTCAATATTAGCCATAATTTTTTTAGGATTCATAGATCCAAATGCCTGTGCATAGATAATAAAGCACAAATAGACATCCTGTTGGTATTTGCTGCTTTTAGCCAAGATATTTGTCCAATTGTTCTACAGCCTTTTCTAAATCTAGACTGAATTTCTGACAATCTCTGTCAATGTTAGTGAGATGAAAAACCCAAATCCAAAACTGCATAGTCCTTGACACAACTACCTTTAGTTTAAATTGCCCCAAAACTGCATAGTCCTCTCCTTAGAGTTCCATACACTTTTATTTACATTTGACAACCCTACGGGGCACTGTGCACATCATTTATATTATTAACAAAGCATGTTGTCCCTCTCCAAAGACTGATCCCTCTTTGTAATATGCCCAGTGTATGTTAGATGAAGCTTCAGAATCTTTGCCTCCAAGGAGCAGCCTGATTTCAACCTCTCTAGGATGAACCTGTTTGTTCTTCTAACAGTTATTGGTGTAGGAAGAGGAAGATCCTCAATGAGCTGGATCAACTCAGTGACTGGAGTAAATGAAGTAGGTACATCAGAGACAATGAGGTTGACACAGGATAGAGCAGTATTCAGAGCTGTTGTACATAGAAAGGGTCACTATCAGTCTCAAGTGACTAGACGACACATAATAATAACATCCAAAAACCTGAGTGGATCACAAGCACCTCATTTATGTCATCTCATTCTGTCATTTTCCTTTGTAAGGACCAAACAGGTTAGGTGAAAATCAGTATCATGTGAAAATAGAGAATGATTAAATCAGATAAGAATGAGGATGACTGTATTTTTACATTAATTGTGAAATTACATCATCATATAACTTTCAAACCACTGAGAATCACACATAATCACAACAGCCAATGTTACTCTTGCTTTATATTTCATTCTTTGTTACTACTAGATGTGTTAGTAAGGTACAAAAGAGTTGGATTATAAGTGTTTCACTGTTGTCATAAATACAAAATGTTGATTAACAAGACAATTGATAAGTGAGGAATAGGTGCATTAAGTCATTCACTGTACCACAAAGTACATAAAATTTCTCTATGTGAAGGATTTACTGTGGTCTTTTAAATATTAATTCATTTAATACCTTGTTATCTACTTGAGAACATAAAAATGAGGCTAAAATATATATACTTTAAGAATAATAAAGTATTATGCAAAAAGAAATAGGCTCATCATTCCACTGATCTTAAAAAAAGCAACACAAAAATCAGTGTGCTCCTAAAACACAGGTTTTCTTTCCCCTTCCTCAGGAAGTGGAAACATTTTCCTTCATTAAATTAGAAATTTTCTTAGTCTATATGATGCTAGTGAGCTCTGATGGCCTAGTAGGTAAGAAGTTAAACTGCCAACCCAAAAGGAAGTTTGAATCTGTAGGGATTAAACTGACCAAGGCTGCCTGGGTTAAAAGAATATAATCTAAAGAATGCAATAAGGGGAAAAAAGAACACACTTTCCTGGGATGTGCAAACTTTGGTTCACCTATCAACACTGTCTTCTGATAAAGGCATCATTATACTAACAGGGACGGTCAGTAAATAGGAAAAGAAACAGTAAAAATATCTTAGATCCCAGTTAACATATATGGAGTTTATCTTTCAATAGGACTGCACAAGCCCTTATTTGATGTTGCTACACAAATAGGTGCGACTATGTGCATGGGGAGGAGCTCTGGTGGCCTAGTGGCAAGAATCTGCGCTGCAATCCTGAAGGCATTGCAGCTCAAGGCCTTCAGCTGCTCCATGGGAGAAGGACGGGCAATCTCTTCCCTTGTGATTAACTGCCTCTGAATACCCTCAGAAGGTCATATATGGGTTGATTCTGACTCTATGGTACACAACAATATACATATGCTTATCCACAAATGGACTGGCTGCATACCATTCTACAAAGGAATTGGCCAGCCTCAACAATCTACAAGAGGATTGGCTAATCTCGCCAAAAAACTGTTCTAGCTGCAGAGAACGAAGAAACTCTTCTCCCACCAGCAGAGGAAGGTGACCTCCTCCAATCTGATAAAACATAGGACATGCTTTGCGATAGCAGTAGTAGCAATGGAGAATTGATGTGAGATGGTACTTTGGGGACAGCAGGAAGCCAATAGTGGCAAGACTGAGAATTTTGTTGGACAATTGAGTGAACAGCCAATATTGGCAGGACTGATAATTTGGGAATCCCACAAAGTTTAAGGATGAAGTGATTGCATACACATTTTAGGAGCTGTCTTGACTGTATTCTGTTATTAATCTTGATTATAACCTTTTGTCTTCCAGTATAGTTCTTTGTGGTCTGTGAGCTATCACATTGGATTTTGGACCCAGTCAAGCAGTAAGATTGATGTTGAGTAGAAAGAGGCATAGGATTGTGGGGGACACAGCTGACTTCATGGGAACTAGTTTTGTATTACTGATGATGTGGATAGATTGCCCCTGTGAAGTTGTTAAAGGTCAGATATGGGGCTCCTCGTGTGGCCCTTGCTCTTTTTACAACATATTTTACTGCTTATGTATTGAGAAACTTCCCAATAAAAGCTAGGAGGTTGTACAAGTCAGGAGGACACTCAACCATGAGTTTCCTCTCCCCATACCTCTTGACTAACTTAAGTCTTGAGTAGCTCATTCGGTAGCTCAGTACTTTCTTCCTGGTCAAAGAAGTGCAACATATGGTGACCCTGGAGGACATGATCCGGGAGGAACAGAGATTGAAACCATGCAGAACAAAAAGTAAAATATCCAGACTTCTTCATCTCAGTAAAAGACAATGGCAGCAAGCACAACCACATATAGGTAATTATTCATAAGGAGATATTGGAAGAGCCAAGAGCTGACTAAAGACCAGAGAATAAAACCCTTTCAACAGCTCTTTTTTTTCTATTTTTTCCCCTATAATTATATTTTATTAATTTTCATAAACATTTACAGAGATTTTGGGTTTCCATTCATTCATTGTTGCACTATTCTCTCTACCCTCCTCCCAGTTTGTTCTTGTCCAAATGCCACAGTGCTTGTCAAAGCCAGTTCTGATTAATCTTCTTTGTCTGTGTGTCCTTTGCCATTCCCTATCACTCCTCCCTGAGAGAGATTTCACCCTGATTCATAAGGAAAAGGGGATGGCGTATTCTCTTAGCTACTTCCTGCTGAAAAGGGACGCTGTGGGTTTCAGGGTGAAGGTCTTCTCTCACTACTCTAAAGGGCCCCTTTGGCAGTAGGAAACACATAGACTATTATGGAGATTGATTTTGGAATTTAGATGCACTCTTATTGATTGTGCTTGGCCGTACATGTTCATATCCTTGAAGATGTATCATGGGGGTGTTGCAACCTAGAAGACACAAATTTGACTAACATGTTATAAGTACATGAGTCAAAAATTATGGAAAAGTAAAAGAAAAGATTCTTTCATTGTTTTACAAACCCTCCCCCAGGTCCCCTCCACCATGTAGCCCTCGCTCTAGTCTCCTGTGATGACAGAAATACCTAGTTATATATCTCTTTTAAACAGTTTTCTCCCTCCTCTGTTTCAGTGCAGTATACATTATTGAACCTCAACAGCTCTTAAAAGTTGCCTTGTATTGCTG